GGGGCTGGGCGGCGGCGGGGGTCGTCCGGCGGTGGAGGGGTTGGATGGCCCCCGCGGCGGGGGTCCGGGGGCCGCAGCCTCACACCGACTTTGCCCCCGGGGATCCCCGCTCGACAACGCTGGTCCCAGATGGTCCCACACGGTTCTAGGTTGAGTTGAAAACCATTTCCAGCACAGTTCTCAAAAAAAATAAAATCGGTGTCGAATCTCAAAACCGCATGCGTCGAGACTGCCGCAAATAACCGCTCGCGTCCCACGTCAGTCCCAACTGAATTCAGGCAGTCCCAAGTAGTCCAGTCCCATTGCCGCAAGTGTTGGGTAGTCCCAACTACAAAACATTGATCTCATGTGCCGCATAAAAAAAATAAACCTGTTCGTCGCGCTCAAATTTCTTACCGTTGCATGTCGTCAATAGTCACCATGTCACGCTGCTGTTGCCGTACACACCAATGGTAACAGATCTTCACCAAGAAAAGCAGACGCCACGCCTCAACAAAAAAATTTTTACGTGCCATAAAAGAAACCTCCACTACCGCGCCGCACGTCCCACCGCTGTGCCCCAATTCCATTGTCGTGTCGAACCCTCGTCAAGAAAAACAGCAGCGCTTCGCCGTGCCGTACCACCGTAAAAAAAAGAAAATGGCAGCGCTCCGCCGTGCCGTACCACCGTAAAAAAACGGCAGCGCTTCGCCGTATCGTACCACCGCAAAAAGACGGCGACACTTCGCCGTGTCGTACCACCGTAAAAAGATGGCGGCACTTCGCCGTGCCATACCACCGTAAAAAAACGGCAGCGCTTCGCCGTGTCGTACCACCGCAAAAAACGGCGGCGTTTCACTGTGCCGTACCACCGTAAAAAAACGGCAGCGCTTCGCCGTGTCGTACCACCACAAAAAGACGGCGGCGCTTCGCGGTGTCGTACCACCGTAAAATGATGGCGGCACTTCGTTGTGCCGTACCACCGTAAAAAAAACGGCAGCGCCACTCTTCAAAACAAAGTGTCGCCGACGTGCCGTGAAAACGGAAGCGTCACCCCTCAAAATAAAGGTGCCGCGCCGACGCCGCGGTATTTCGGCAGCATAACCCCACAAAAATGGTTTATGGTTGCCGAAAATATCGGTCGGCACGCCTCCACCACTTGTCGTGCTCCCCGTCGCTCCTTGCCACGCTCCGCTGCCGCTCCTCACCACGCTGCCGCAGAGTCCCCCTAGAGACCAGTCTGCCAAGGGGTGGAGCAGAGTGCTACAGCCAAGGCTATGGCTGTCTCCTCCTTCGCCGTGCTCCTCCACAGTCCTCCAACTCCGCCGACACTACTCCTGCCTCCTCTCCAGCACTCCAGCGATGAGGCAAGTGTGCTGTCGCACAGTGGCAGCTGGAGACAAGTGTGAGGTAGCTGGGGGACAACTGCCTCTTTTGTAGTGGCTGACGAGGTGAGGAGGAGCTGCCCCCAGGCAAAATTCGTCACTTGTCTGGGACCGTTGATCTGAACTAGATCCACGGACTGAGGCTGTCTCACCTCAGCCACATACTTAGGGTGGCAGTCGTACTCAATTGCCCCCCTCTTTTTCTTTATTTTCCCTATACTCAGCCCCACACTGAGTGCAGGTTCAGTGGGAAAATGATTGTTTCCAGCCAAGCTCCCCTCACCGACCCTCCAGTTCCTCAACCTCTGGCCTAAGTCACATTCAGGCCAACTTGGTCTGTATTTTATCATAGCCGCGGTCACATTCGTGGCCGTGGCTTTTTTTTTTTTTCCGTTCTCTTTAATTCAGATATCTCGGATTTTCACGAGATAGCTAAATTTTTGGCATTTCCAAATCTGTTTTTTTTTTTTTTTTTTTTTTTTTTTTTTTTTTTTTTTTCTGATAAGAGGTTTTTCCCAGTGCAGATACATCAAGGAAAATGTTGTACTTAGCCTTTTCCCTCATGTGACTTTTAAATTTCCAGGCTCCCCTTAAAAACGGAAGCCTGACAATTACCTCTGGAAGCTTGTGCCAGAGGTAGCAGCTGGTGAGGACAAGTGTCCTCAAGAAAAAACACAGAAAACAAAAGAAGAAAATAAAAATAAAAACTTAGATCCCCCCAATTGTACTACTCCTGGCTTTAATCTGAGCCAGGAACATGCAGTTGGGGCCAACTGCATTTGCCTCACCTCTACTGGCCCCACTTGAAAACGGGGAAGACAGTTGTCAGTGTTGGGAGTAGGGAAACAAATCGTGAAAACTCACGAGTTCAAATCCCGACAGGCTCAGAGCTGGGTGCAAGAGGTACCCCGACTTTGATGATTTTTCGAAACATATTCACTTAATAAAAAACTCTAAAAAATTCATGCACATGGCCTAGGTGTCAGACTACCTAGAAAAAAAAAATCAAGGCCAACAAAATTGTTTTACGCCACGAAAACAATAGTGGCGCAAACTCGATGAAGTCTGGGG